CCAGCCCCATGTCGATTTTTTGATACTTTTTCATGCTTTTTAGCAAAATTTCTCTATGAAAACAAGAGTATATGTATAAGAAAATGGAAAAGGACCCTTTTTCATATTGTTTCAAATAGGATGTGAAGTTTTAACATCACCTGTACCAAAATAAATACAAAAAAGAACTAATTTTATCATATAAATTGCGTATTAGCCATTTTTCAATAATTTGGCGGCCATCTTGGATTTCTCAAAACGTACCATGATTTGACATGTCTACCCAAATTTTTTGTAAACTTCAAATATTTAGCTTTACATTGGTATAACATTTATCCATGGACCTTTTTTGCACACAAAAGGTCCCCAGGGACTGTACTACTGTTAACTACATTGAAAATGAGGGCCATGGGTTCAATCCCCAGAAGGGTCAACTTTTTTTTTCTTTCTTTTATCTTTTAACATTATTTATGTATCTCTCATGTCCCATATGGAAAGAAAAAGGTGTTTAATTTTGAATTTTTAATTTATATAGGTATTTATTGGCTAAATTATGCTAAATCTAGTAATAAATATGGTACCTGATATTTTCAAAGTGTAATATAATCAAAACTAGACGGTAAAAGTATTTCATATTTTACAAGATCAACCAATATATTTTTTTAAAAATTTAGGGAAACTTTAAAAACAGGCACTCATTTGGGTAAATTTTAAGAATTTTTTGAATTAGGCTCCCTAAGTAGAAAAATGATCAGACATGTGGTAAAAATGGGTGGGGTAGGGTAACATTTTTATACAGAATTCATAAATTTTAAGTAGAAACCATAATTTTGCTTATGTGGATTGTTAGCTGAATGGTACTATTTGTTTCTTACCAAAAATTCATGGGAAAACATTTTTCATGAGAATGTTATTGCAGATTATTTAAAGTTTCCTCATTTCTAAAAAAGGGCCCTCATAACATCCTAGCTTGAGTTCAGAAAAGTGGCCATAACTTGATTTCCGTACGGTAAACTTTGTTTAAATTTTGCATACAGGTGTACTTAAAGGTATACATCTGACCTATGATGTCAATTCTTTAGTTCCTGATAGTGCCCATTAGGGTCCTAATACCTTAAGTTTGAGGTGAATATCTTTTATACTTTCTGAGTGAATGGGCCTTAACGGAAAAGTCAACCTAAGCCGACGTCGATGCCTACGCCATCGCTTACGAGAGGATCGTTACTAAAACTTCCTTGACAAAATCTCAGGGGAAATAACCAGACGTTATGCAGAAATTACATACCTTTACTGGGGCCTGAATGGTTGCCGACTTCAAATCTCTAGTCCCTTACTCCAGTGGGCTTAAATCCCGTGAAGGACTTTAGATTTTTCATGTGAAGAAGCTAAAGAGATAGTTTCAGGAATGTCAGTGGTTCGACGCCGTCTGCTGCCAAAAGAATACACGGATTGAAGGTCATTATTCACAAGTAAGGCTGAAAACTTCGGTATTCACATCTGCAGAATCGGCGTAATTTCAAATCCATCTCATAAACAAACGAACAAGCTTACAAACAAACAAACAAACAAACAAACAAACAAACAAACAAACAAAACAGCAAAATATTCCCTCCAATTTTGAAAACGTGATTTAAATAAACACGTTTGCAAGCACCTTTTTCATTTTTTTGCTTCTCTGCAGATAATTTCGGAGTGATACCTCAAATCACTTTAGAAATTAAAATTTTGAACAATCTCGTTCTTAGGTTGTTTACTGGATTACCTCTAAAAATTGGCTAATTTATGAGTTATTTTGCTTCTATTAACCCATTACCCGATAGACACGCCTTTTAACGCCTTTTTCACTCCCCTTTTATTGTTGTCTCAAATGGTGAAAATGCCTTAATTAGGCTCTCAACACTTGTTTTTGTTTGAGAAATGTTGTTTAAAAAAGTGACCACTTTTTCGGCGCCCCCCAACCAAAAGATACATCAGGGGGTTGCCAGAAGGAAGATGTGCCCCTTTCTGTTTGGGGGGTTTGAAGGGACGGTAGTCCCCCTCATCACCAAGAAAATTTTGGACTTGTAAGAGGCTAAAAATGACCCCAGATCGATCATAAGGTAACGTGTAACGAACGCTGACAAGCATTTGACTCTATCTCAATCCATTGAGAAGTTGCAGCATTTTGAAATCAATTTTGATGGAAAAAAGCAATTTTGAAATGTCCCCTCGTTGCCATGGTAACAGGACATTTAAGCCAGGGCTTGTTGTTACAAAGGCAATGGCAAAGTCAATATTTGTGACAAGTTTGATCAGTATTGAAGCAGTTTTTATAGTTTTATAGCAATTTGAACTTGTAACGGGAGACTTTTCAATGAAAACAGCCATTTTTCACAAAATGCTCATGAAGTAACGGATTAAGCTTCTATATCACTTCTATACCATATGTTACCGTTTTCTATACATTCGTGTTTTAGAAAAGATTTAGGTGGTCTTAATATATTGCATATTTACATATATTAATATTTTTTTATGGGTCAAAATTGGCCCCACCCCCAGGGGTCATTGATTTTTACTATGTACATATAGTAAAAAATTAAAAAATCTTATTGTCTGAAGTTACAAGGCTTAGAGCTTTGATATTTGGTATATGATATCATCTATAGGTACTCTACCAAAGTTGTTCAAATTTTGCCTATAGTGTCAAAACTAGCCCTGCCCCGGGGTCATAGGTTTTCTTTACATGTATATACTAAAAACTTTAAAAAATCACCTTCTCGAATTGACAAAGGCTAGAGGTGAGACATTTTGCAGTAAACATTGTGTAGTTAAACTTTAGCAAGATTATTCAAATTAAAGCCCTTGGGTCAAAACAAAAAAAAATTGTTCCTACATTACTATTTTAGTGTTGTATTTATGCGGTGGCATAGCATTTTTTACAAATGCAATCTTGTTTTTTCATTTATTCATTTCACGGAACATTTCATATATTTTGTGACCTAGTTAAACATATTTAACCTACATTTTGCGTAAGACATTGATATCGAAGCAATATAATAAAGTTTCAATGTGTAAATAATCTGACTGATGGATGTATACCTGTTTGTATTTAATATAATTTATTTGTAATTGACACGATGAGGTAAGATTGTTTTCTGATAAAAATGACAATAATCAAGTGATTTATTTACATGTAGGCAGTTCATTTTTTGAACCATCAATGTAATGTTTTTACTTTCTCTGTTTGCTCAAAATACCTAATATAATACTTCTACAGTGTGCGTCTAAACATGCTTATATTACCTTGATGTAGTGTTGTTTTTAAATGACTGAATGTATTGTTATATTCTCGCATTTCTGGTTTCATTACGTATAAACACAAAATATTATAAATTTATCATTTATTTAACTGTGTATTACTTATTAATTTTATTTCTTGTATGTATACATATACCTGTAATTTCGAACGATTAAATGCGGAAATGTTGTTGTCGTTTTGATTGTAATATTTATATGTACTTTTACGGATCCCAGCGAACTTTGTTCGAGATTCTCCGGTTCGTAAATCTCTCGTAAAAAATTGAAACGATTTGAATACCTACCCATTATTGGTACGCGTTTAACTTTTGAGGCATGGAGGAGCACGTGACCTGTTTTCGGTACATGGAGGAGCATGTGATCTGTAAACCGTACATGATTGGTTAATTGACCTTTTCGATAACCTGGCTAAATACCGTTTGCCGGTACGTTACGGATAGTCCTCTAGGGAATTAGTCAGAATTACACCTAATTAAGAACAAAAATTATTACGTGACATTTCTAATTTTCTATAATTATGTTACCGTTTAAGGTGGAAAAACTTGAATGATGTGTTTGAAAATTATCTATGTTTCTTTATTATGTATCTCAAAATTTTACAAACAATAAATTGTTTATACTGAAAATCTACAAAATTAAAATATTCGTAGTGGCACCTGCCATAATAAATAGAGATATTTTCTGCGTAAACTTGTGTGTTTACCTTATTTGTTTTATTTATTTATTTTGCTCGGAATTATTCATAAAATGGTAGGCCTATTTAATCATTTTCTTAAAAAAGAAATAATTGTTTTATTTTCGACCTTCTCCGGTCATCAACGGTCACCAGTTTCCGAAGACCTTCTCCTTTATTGATCTATATTCCTGATACAAACGATTATTTATCCCCCCCCCCACAAAAAAAATGTTGAAATAGTTAAATGAAATATTTTAATATCATTAAAAATATTCCCCGCAGGAAACCATTGTACTTGTTAACTTTTTGAAGGAATTGTATCCGTTCGTACCTGTATTATTTGCATTTTTGAATAGCGATAATTGTATGTTTATAACACAGAATTTTATCTGTAGACTTTAATTAAGCCTTGATATTGACTGGTTGCAAAATGCAATTGCAATTACAATATTTTTAATCTTCCAGGCAGGAATAGAGAGCAGAAGATTAACTTTAGCTTTAGAACCGGAGTCAGCGTCGATATATTGTCGCCATCAAAATATATCAGCAGGGAACAAAGAAACAAGAGACAAAGATATTTCTTGCTTGGAAGAAGGAACAAGATACATGATCATAGATGCAGGAGGTATTAGAAACAATAGGGTCACGGTTGTCTAAGTTTGCTAGACAATGTTTTTATGCATTTGGTACAGAAGAGGTTACTGAGTCATATTCATTTCAAATGGTCAACGTTTGATGTCATATGCGAAATTGCAAAGTCCGAGTCAGTCAAGTCAAAATCAATCGATATTAAATAAAAATATGCACCAAAAAGTACTCATATGCAAGTGCGAATGTAACGAACGCAGTTTTAAATCAAACATTAAAATTTTAAAATTCTAATAAGTAATGGTTAGAATAAATTGGAAACTCTAGTACAATTTTTATTCAATGGAAGTGTACAAACTGTGATCATTTTGTTTATGCTCCTAGTCAATCATCAAGCCTGTATATTTTCTTGTTTCTGTCAAAGATATCTCTTTTATGAGTCTGTATACAATTGATGCTATTTCTGACTCTATGTCTATCATTTCACATATAAAATGAAACAACATGCCAACTATCAGCATTGTAGGCCTTGGGCATTTTTAGAAGTTTTGTTTCTCTGTTTGTTTTTCCTTTTTATACTTCGATTTTAACACAGTTTTGGTCATATTTAGACTGCCAAGTCATCTTCCTTAATAAATTACAAGTAATCCTCATTGGACCGACTACTTAACCCACACTATTTTGAATAAGATATCAATTGTCACAGAGATATTTTGCCTCAACCAAGGATCGATCCAATGACCCCTTGATTACAAATACGATATTGTCCTTATTGAGCAAACCAGAGAGACCTATTTTAGTTGTGAACCTTAAAGATGTTTAGATATGCCTATTTTTACATATATTTAACACCTTTTCTCAGTCATTTTAATGAAACAAAACTTTACAGGGAGAACAGTTCTGGGCAATTTTTCTCGTATGAAATCAAGAAGTACATTTACTACGACACGTGAGATGCATATTATGTAATTTACAGTTCAAACAATTCTTATTGGTGATCATATGAAATATGATATTTTGCGAGATACTGACACAATTATTATTTAGTATTGTACACACTTACATATTGATTGAATATCAGAAAATATATATTCGCATTAAAATTGATTCATACGGAACAGCACGTGCATAAATAGTTATGCGCTTGCATTCCTTTTCCGCGGCATGGTAGTTGTTGTATTTGATACAAACACATTATTTGTTGATTTTCTTTATGAAATATCCATAGAAAAATCCTTACAGAATGCTCCCCAACTCAAGGAATTATTCATGTCGGCGTGTTTGTCAAAGCTATATAGGACTATCTGCTGCAAAACTAAAAAATGTTTATTCCTAGGCGTATGTAAAATGCAGAAATCATTGCATAACCTTACCTTACCTTACCTTAACCTTACTTACTTACTAAATATAACAGCGTATCATTTTATTCCGTTTTCGTGTAATATTCAGTCATGTGTGTTAAAAATCAAAATATTGTATTTTACAACCTTTTTGAGACTACCATGATATCACGGGACCAACATAATTTTACTAATTATACCTTATATAAATATAAAGATTCATATTCTTTCAGCATTATTGTTGTAGTAACATCATATATCAAATGTATCTATATAGGTGGATAACAATCGACCTATAGCACCTTTGTTATATCGGACTCGGACTCTTTAAGTGTAATAGGTAGGCAGTTTGCAGTTTATCGAAATATTTAAAGGGATCAGACGCGTTTATTAAATGAACCAAGGCCCCCTATTGATTCAACTACTTTGCAAGTTTGGTTTAAATAATAAAACGACCAAGGTGATATCGTGTAGAAAAAAGAAAAAAAATATGCCCATTTATATGGAGCCCGCAATTCTGACAAACATAAAGGAAGCAGGCTTTTTAAAGTATCTTCCCGTAAAATAATTATGTGAAATGATTATAATTATGACCACAAAACAATTGCTATCCTGGAATATAACGGTGCTATGCATTTAGGGAATATGTTAGGTATTCACTTGAGCACGATCTACTGATAAGACACGTTCTTTGGAAGTTAATTTCAAGCTATATAAAATAGAACTGCTATCATACAGACAAGGCAAAATATACATATTCTGGGGCGTTAAAATGTTCAAGTGTCGTCACTCACTCGTTCATTCTGATATACGGTTGCCTAAAACTGACCCCCCCCCAAAAAAAAAACAAAAAAAAAACAAAAAAAAACAAACAAAACAACAAAAACAACATAATATTGACCTACGAGTGGTTTGATTAGTGCACACGTATCGTTTGTATCGAATCAATAATAAAAATGCTATCGTGGATACAAACTAACCCTTTTTAGTTAATTTGTTAATTTGTCACATTCTATAAGTTATCTCACGTCTTGTTATAAACATAATTTTAACAGAGTCCCCATAGTATCATTATATATTTATGTGTGTCATTGTAGGTGGAACAATTGATATTACAATTCACAAAGTCGGTGAGAATGGTAATATGAAAGAAGTACATGCTGCCTGTGGGGGAGATTGGGGCGGCACAGCGGTTGACAAAGAATTTGAAACTGTACTCCTTGAATTGATAGGTTCGCAGATATTTCATAGATTCAAGAATGAAAACATGGAAGATTATCTCGAATTATGGAGAGATTTTGAAGTGAAAAAGAAATCAATTACACCATCAAGCATTCGGGCAACCAAAATGACCATCCCTTTATCTCTTATGGAAACATTCAAAGATAAAACACACAAAGATTTGGCGAAATCTATTTCCGAAACACACTATGCAAAAGATATTGAGATAAAAAGCGGCAACAAAATGGCAATTTCTGCAAATATGATGAGGTCATTCTTCACCAATTCTATAAACAGTATCATACCATTTGTTACAACAATACTAGAAAGTAAAAAAGTCGCAGCAATTCTCATGGTTGGTGGATATTCAGAGTCCATTATGCTCCAAGACGCCGTGAAAACCAATTTTCCTGAAATTGAGATTGTTGTCCCGGAAGAAACCTCATACAGCGTTATGAAAGGAGCTATTATATTTGGCTTCATACCGACAATTATATCAAAACGTGTCTTGAAGTATACATATGGCGTGCGAACGACCGTAAATTTTTTTAAGGGAAAACACCCAGAGAGCAAACGCATGCAAACAGATGCTGGCGACAAATGTCAAGGTATATTTGACAAGCATGTTGAGAAAGACCAAGAAGTCAATGTTGGTGAGACACAGGTTTGGAGAGTTTATACTCCTTTGTACAAGACACAAAAACATTTAAACATATCAGTTTTTGCTTCTGAGAAATCAAACCCGGAATATACGGACAAAGACTGCCATTTTGTTGGTAAGGTGATTGTAGATTTGAGTGATTCCGGTGAACTTGATCGAAAAATTGAAGTAGCACTTTCATTTAGCTGTACAGAAATCGTTGTTGCAGCTAAAGAAATGAAAACGGGCAAAGAAACACACGCAACCATTGATTTTCTCGGATAGACAGTAGCAGTTTGTTGTATAGCAACCTAATCAATATTTACTGCTATATAACTATTTAACGAGCAAATGATAACAAATTAAGTTCTTGAATCTGTACATACAACACTATTTAATAGACTGCATTTTGCGTTTTGCATAAAATAACAATGATAACTGCTTAAATTTATGGAGTCAGTGATCACAAAGGACCTGACATTATAACACCACTGAGAAGATACGAGTTGCAACAAAACATTTAACACTTGCTGCTGCGAAACCTGGCATTCACAGAACATGCAACTATAAGACTAAAGATTAAGAAATATATTATTTCATATTTATTCGGTTCTAAAGAAAATGCATGTTTGGACAAGGTCCTTAAAATATGAGATTTTGGATAAAATAAGAAGACTGTAATGTTACTATGATTTTGAATCATTTAAAACACTTGTTACTATATTCAACTCACTATGAGTGTCACATGACTGATTATGAGTTTGCGAACTGATGCCGAAAAAAAACTCATAATAATTTTCAGCCGCTGAACGCGATACGAGCACTAGAAAAAAATTGAACAATGACGTCACATTTTACGTCATCAAAACGTCTTGCTGTAAAGTGGTAATCGGTCCTGAAATGGATCATGCACTAGGACTGAAGCCCTCGGGGCCATTATTTAATTTGCAGGCCGATTATCACCTCCGTGTATCTCTTCTGTGTATCAATAGACTTGTTTCTATATATAAATATATAATAGATAAATATTTATATATAATAACAAGTCTATTGATACACAGAAGAGATACGCGGATATCTATATACGTCAGACGACAGGTCGGAAGGTGATAATCAGCCCTGAACTGTATAATGCTTTAAGGGGTTATTAATCATTTTGCGGGACCGATTATAACCTTCCGGCCCTACTCGGCCGTGCATTAACCTCTAAATAAACAACTGTATCTTATAGTAATATGCCACAGTATTGTTAAGAAGAATATGATCAGCTGTATTGTACTAGCTCATTGTAATAAACAGCTTCAGACCGATATGTGGTAACAGATAATTGTTTTCCAGTTAAATGAGTCATTTTGCGTTGAAGATGAACTGAATTGTAACTTAAAGTACTGTTTTAACACAATTAATTATATTAGGGAAACTTTTTGTTTATCTTTAATTGTTTGTAATTCTACAGTTGATTAACACATCTCTAAACCATGTCATGAAATTTGTTTGTAAAACGTAATTTATTCCACTAGACACGTTTGATTTTTACACGATACTAAATGAATTTTCTTTTTTTAGCATCTTATTGTTTTCTTTTTTATATGTGAACGATTCTGCTTTATCAGAATGTACTTAACGATATTATTATATAGAATTATTTTATAGATATGTCTGCTTTATATTGATTTACCAATGTTATGAACAGCCTCCGTGGTCGAGGGGTTAGAGTCGATGACTTCTAATCAAGTTACCTCTCTGGCGTGGGTTCGATCCCCGGGATATGCTTTGATAGTTCAGCACGAAAGAAGGTAGTCTAGTACTGGTGTTACTCTCCAGGAACGATGGTTAGGAAACTACCCGCCTATTTGACTGAAATACTGTTGGGAAAAGGCGTAAAAATGTAACAAACAAACAAACAAAAACCAATGTTATGTTTATTGATAAGCTTAATTTGCACTGGCCTTCTGTGCTGACATTTGGCAGATAACAGTATATTTTTTATGCTACTTATTCTGTCAGAGTATTTTACGGCTAATTAAGGTATTACATTGCTAAAAAGAATAATATGAATGACCACATAAAAGCATATTGTTAGAATATTCATCTATCCGTTCATGTGTGATTTTCAGGTCTTCCACCTAAAAGCATATTGTTAGAATATTCATCTATCCGTTCATGTGTGATATTCAGGTCATAGATTGAGGTCAAACTAATAGACCGTAGAAAAAAAAACAATTAAAAAAATCTAAAAATTATTGATTACAAGTCATTTATTTCACTGGATACGTTTGCTTTTTACACGATACTTGAATTTTGTTTTTGAGCATCTTATTGTTTAGTCTTTTACGTTTGTTAAAATATAACTGAACGATTCTGCATAATCAGAATGTATTTAAGGATATTATAATATAGAATCATTTTATAGATATGATATGTCTGCTTGATATTGATTTACCAATGCTATGCTTATTGAAAAGCTTCCATTGTTCTTCGCCTTTGCACTGGCCTTCCGTGCTGACATTTGGCAATGAGGCACAACAGGTAATAGTTGATTTTTAATGCGACTCATTCTGTCAGAGTATTATACGGCTAATAAGGTTTTTACATTGCTAAAAAGATATATAGGAATAGCCATCTAAAAGCATATTGTTAGAATATTGATCTATCTGTTCATATGTGATATCCAGTCCATAGGTTCAGGTCAAACTAAGAGATCGTAGAAAAAGCATTTAATGAAACAAAGCATAAAATATAAACTTTATGAGACCAAGTGTTACGCCAAACAATAAGCCCTTGTAGCAAAAGGCATAGTCATAGGCAGATAAAACAAATGTATGTATGTATTGATTAATTATTCATGATGTACTGAGACTACATGTTCACCACAATATGATTGGATTCCATTGGAAAAGAAAAAAATATGGACTCAAAGAGATTTTACGTAGCCTTTTAACACAATTATCTAAACTAGGGTGGGGTTCAGTCGGTTCAGTCTGTGCGTTTGTTATATTCATTCAAAATAATTTTGTCCAAAATCATTTTGTCGATGATCCCATCTCTAAACGATGTTGTGGACAATTATTGATTACAAGTCATTTATTTCCCTGGATACGTTTGATTTTACACGATACTTGAATTTTGTTTTTGAGCATCTTATTGTTTACTCTTTTATGTTTGTTAAAAGATAACTTAACGATTCTGCATAATCAGAATGTATTTAACGATATTATTATATAGAATCATTTTATATATATGATATGTCTGCTTTATATTGATTTACCAATTTTATGTTATTGATAAGCTTCCTTTGTTTTTAGCCTTTGCACTGGCCTTTAGTGCTGACATTTGGCAATGAGGCACAACAGGTAATAGTTGATTTTTATGCGACTCGTTTTGTCAGAGTATTATACGGCTAATAAAGGTTTTACATTGCTAGAAAGAATAATATGAATGACCACATAAAAACATATTGTTAGAATATTGATCTATCTGTTCATATGTGATATCAAGGTCATATGTTAAGGTCAAACTAAGAGATCGTAGAAAAAAAACAACATTTAATATAACCAGGCATAAAATATTTCCTTTATGAGACCAAGTGTTACGCCAAACAATAAGCCCTTGTAGCAAATGCCTTAGTCACAGGCAGAGGTCAAAAGTCAGATAAAACAAATTTATGTATGTATTGATTATTTATTTCATCATGTACTGAGACAACATATTCACCACAATATGATTGGATTCCGTTGGAAAAGAAATGAAATATGGAATCAGAGATTTTAGATAGTTTTTTTACACAATTACATGTATCTATACTAGGGTCTTGGTATCTTTATCGGTTCAGTCTGTGCGTTTGTTATATTAATTCAAAATAATTTTGTCCAAGATCACTTTGTCGATTATCCCGTCTCTAAACGATGTTGTGGACAATTATTGATTACAAGTCATTTATTTCACTGGATACGTTTGATTTTACATGATACTTGAATTTTGTTTTTGAGCATCTTATTGTCTGCTCTTTTATGTTTTTTAACGATTCTGCATAATCAGAATGTATTTAACGATATTATTATATAGAATCATTTTATAGATATGATATGTCTGCTTGATTTTGATTTACCAATGTTATGTTTATTGAAAAGCTTCCGTTTTTCTTCGCCTTGCATTGGCCTTCCGTGCTGACATTTGGCAATGTGACACAACAGGTAATAGAATATTTTTATGCGACTCGTTACGTCAGAGTATTATACGGCTAATAAAGGTTTTACATTGCTAAAAAGAATAATAGAAATGACCACCTAAAAGCATATTGTTAGAATATTGATCTATCTGTTCATGTGTGATATCCAGGTTATATGTTAAGGTCAAACTAAGAGATCGTAGAAAAAGGAATTAAATATAACCAGGCATAAAATATTACCTTTATGAGACCAAGTGTTACGCCAAACAATAAGCCCTTGTAGCAAATGCCTTAGTCACAGGCAGAGGTCAAAAGTCAGATAAAACAAATTTATGTATGTATTGATTATTTATTCATGATGTACTGAGACTACATGTTCACCACAATATGGTTTGTTTCCGTTGGAAAAGAAATGAAATATAGAATAAAAAGACTTTTAGGTAGCCTTTTAACACAATTATGTACATCTATACTAGGGTCTGGGTATTTTTATCGGTTCAGTCTGTGCGTTTGTTATATTGATTCGAAATAATTTTGTCCAAAATCATTTTGTCGATTATCCCATCTCTAAACGATGTCGTGGAAAATTATTGATTACAAATCATTTATTTCATTGAAAACGTTTGATTTTTACACGATACTTGAATTTTGTTTTTGATCATCTTATTGTTTACTCTTTTATGTTTGTTAAAAGATAACTTAACGATTCTGTATAATCAGAATGTATTTAACGATATTATAATATAGAATCATTTTATAGATATGATATGTCTGCTTGATATTGGTGTACCAATGTTATGTTTATTGAAAAGCTTCCTTTGTTCTTCGCCTTTGCATTGGCCTTCTGTGCTGGCATTTGGGAATGAGACACAACAGGTAATAGAAGATTTTTATGCGACTTATTTTGTCAGAGTATTAAACGGCTAAATAAGGTTTTACATTGCTGAAAAGAATAAAAGGAATGGCCACATAAAAGCATATTCTTAGAATATTCATCTATCCGCTCATATATGATATCCAGGTCATAGGTTATGGTCAAACTAAAAGATCGTAGAAAAAAGCATTTAATATTACCAGGCATAAAAGATTACCTTTGTGAGGCTTAGTGTTACGCCAAAATATAAGGCCCCCGAAGCAAAGGCCATGGTCACAGGCAAAGGTCAAAAGTCACATGAAACAAATGTATGTATGTATTGATTAATTAGTCACCATGTACAGTGACTACATATTCACCACAATAGGATCAAGTGTGTGTGACGGGTACATTTGTAAAATTTGTTGCCATTTGTTGTAACATTTGTTAATAATAATTCAATGGTTATAGTTTGTCATGAGTTAACGACAGTTGCCTGTTATTTAGTATCAAACATGTATTGGAGAAGTTTGATAATATTGTTATAATTATTTTTATCAGCATCATAAGTTTTACTTATTGGACATGTATTTCGGAAAAAAGTAGTAAAGCATCAATTGTGCAATTGAATTTACAATTTGCATTTGCTTCAAGCAGTAGTTAGTTTATTACCGTAGCCATATTGAATGGTTTATTTACATAGGTTATTGTTAAGCGGCATATGTTTTTTGTTTATGTTTTAAGACTTTCTTTCAAAAAGGTGACTTTTAAATGGAGAGCATTTTTAAATGAATAACATTAAAACATGTTCCATGCGTAAGACAAGTGTAGTGTGTATTACTTTTTAGCTCGACTATTCGATAAGAATAAGTAGAGCTATTGCAGTCACCCGAGCGTCGGCGTCGGCGTCGGCGTAACCACTTATGTTAAAGTTTTTGTAATAGTTCAAATATTTTCAAAGTCCATTGACATATGGCTTTGAAACTTTGCACACTTGTTCACCATCATGACCCCAACCTGTAGACAGGAGGAGGTAAACTCTATCAAGCATTTTGACAGAATTATGCCCCTTTTTCGACTTAGAAATTTACGTTAAAGTTTTTGTAATAGTTCAATATTTTTCAAAGTCCATTTGACATATGGCTTTGAAAAACTTTGCACACTTGTTCACCATCATGACCCCAACCTGTAGACATGAGGGGGTAAATCTATCAAGCATTTTGGACAGAATTATGCCCCTTTTTCGACTTAGAATTTACGTTAAAGTTTTTGTAATAGTTCAAATATTTTCAAAGTCCATTGACATATGGCTTTGAAACTTTGCACACTTGTTCACCATCATGACCCCAACCTGTAGACAGGAGGAGGTAACTCTATCAAGCATTTTTGACAGAATTATGCCTCTTTTTCGACTTAGAATTTACGTTAAAGTTTTTGTAATAGTTCAAATATTTTCAAAGTCCATTGACATATGGCTTTGAAACTTTGCACACTTGTTCACCATCATGACCCCAACCTGTAGACAGGAGGATGTAACTCTATCAAGCATTTTGACAGAATTATGCCCCTTTTTCGACTTAGAAATTTACGTTAAAGTTTTTGTAATAGTTCAAATATTTTCAAAGTACATTGACATATGGCTTTTAAAACTTTGCACACTTGTTCACCATCATGACCCCCAACCTGTAGACAGGAGGAGGTAACTCTATCAAGCATTTTTGACAGAATTATGCCCCTTTTTTCGACTTAGAATTTACGTTAAAGTTTTTTGTAATAGTTCAAATATTTTCAAAGTCCATTGACATATGGCTTTGAACTTTGCACACTTGTTCAACATCATGACCCCAATCTGTAAACAGTAGGAGGTAACTCTATCAAGCATTTTGACAGAATTAAGCCCCATTTTTTTCGACTTAGAAATTTACGTTAAAGTTTTTGTAATAGTTCAAATATTTTCAAAGTCCATTGACATATGGCTTTTGAAACTTTGCACCACTTGTTCACCATCATGACCCCAAACCTGTAAACAGGAGGAGGTAACTGTTATCAAGCATTTTTTTTTACTATCAAGCACTAAGAATAGTCGAGCGTTGCTGTCCTACCGACAGCTCTTGTTTAGGAATATTGAAACAAGCATTTATATCCTTAGATTTTTGATATTGGAAAATATCAAATGAAGAAAAACTCGAAATCGCATTTTAGCGGAAGATAAAATATTTTATAACATCATAAATGAGCTTAGATATCAATCTATCAAGTTTTAAAAAAAATGTTTTACTGCTATGAGGAACTTCATTATGTGCTTGTTTATCATTTAGACTCATGATAATGTATCTAAAATGTATATATGAACCAAATATATATGAGAACCAGAAATAAAAGGTTTTGCTATTCTTCTATCGTTTATGTTTTATCTACTCACACTGCCTCCATTAGAAACTAGAGTAATTGAATAAAATTAAGGATGTCATAAATAATTACTTTCTTTCTCCTGCATTTCTAGTTCGTTTGGTATGTATTTATGTTGATTGTTTTAATATGAGGAATAAATGACGGTTAAAGCTAGAAATATGAATATCTCAAGATTTTTTAGTTATCAAGCGACTACAATTAGCATTACATTATCATATCAACATACTACTAGAATGCCATTGAAGAAAGAAGTCGTCTATAAAACGCAAGTTGTGAACTGGATGGTTACAATATATCTACAGTAAAAACTCTGAAAAACCGGACCCTGCTTGTTGTGTCTTTTTACATGCGTTAGATCATTATTTTTTTTTATATCTTTCGGTTTTCTTTTCTCGGGAAAATGAGAAATTATATATGCAAAAACAAAATATAATTCCATTTTTTTGCGGGGACAAACGACACCAATGTTGTTGAGATCTTAATTCTTAATGACGTTTCAGGGTTCTATATCATCTTGATATATATTTAATCACGGTTTAAATTGCAGTCGTAATTCCAGCTTTATATCAGTGGTTTTGAAGTTCCTTTTGCTTAAAAATTTCAAAGAAAACAACATCATATTAAAAAAGTCAGATCAACGAAAAATCATCTAGCGTGAGTGAAATCTTATGCAAGTAAGTTTTAATTCAAACAGTACTAGTTAAAAAGTAATTGTATCTCTTTTTTCAGATTTAATAATCACAAAGCAGACTAAAAAGAGCTGTTTTATTCTCACAATCAAAATGCATTTACAATGAATAATACATGTATGTCAATAATTGACACGATAATTATCGGACAAAAATAATTTCCTTTTGAGCAATAATAAATAAGTGACAAAAAATGATGACAGGTTTGTTTTTTTTTCAATTGAGTGTCGGCACTTCTTTGTTGAAGTTTTCGAAAATCAAAAAATCCTAAATTTAGAGGAGTTTTCGAAGATAAGGAGAAAATATCGAACTTGAGAGAAATTTTAGAAATTGTTAAATCTAATCAGGTGCTATTTATGTATTTTTTACTTATTTATGAAAGATTTAACTGTACATTTAAACACAATATTACATATTTGTTTACAATAATCTTATCGGCAATTTAGGTATAAAACCACTAAATATCACTATAGGAGAACAATAATCACAATATTTTGCATTTGTGAAACTATTGTTTAAAATACTATGTCGTGGACACGAGTTACTAGGTCGTGGCCACGAGATAGCTAAAGTCGTGGTATGTTAAAGTTTTTGTAATAGTTCAAATATTTTCAAAGTCCATTGACATATGGCTTTGAAACTTTGCACACTTGTTCACCATCATGACCCCAACCTGTAGACAGGAGGAGGTAACTCTATCAAGCATTTTGACAGAATTATGCCCCTTTTTCGACTTAGAATTTACGTTAAAGTTTTTGTAATAGTTCAAATATTTTCAAAGTCCATTGACATATGGCTTTGAAACTTTGCACACTTGTTCACCATCATGACCCCAACCTGTAGACAGGAGGAGGTAACTCTATCAAGCATTTTGACAGAATTATGCCCCTTTTTCGACTTAGAATTTACGTTAAAGTTTTTGTAATAGTTCAAATATTTTCAAAGTCCATTGACATATGGCTTTGAAACTTTGCACACTTGTTCACCATCATGACCCCAACCTGTAGACAGGATGAGGTTACTCTATCAGGTATTTTGACAGAATTATGCCTCTTTTTGACTTAAAATTTATGTTAAAATTTGTGTACCACCTCAGAATTTTTAAAGTTCATTGACATATGGCTTTGAAACTTTGCACACTTGTTCACCATCATGACCGCAACGTGTAAACAGGAGGATGTAACTGTGTCAAGCATTTTGAGAGAATTATGCCCCTTTTTAGACTTACAATTTACGTTTAAGTTTGCGTACCACCTCAAATATTTTCATAGTCAATTGGCATAGGGCTTTGAAACTTTGCACAGTTGTTCACCATCATGCCCCTAACCTATTGATAGGAAGAAGTGACTGCATCAAGCATTTTGACAGAATTATGCCCCTTTATTGACTTATAATTTACATTAAAGTTTTTGTAATAGTTCAAATATTTTCAAAGTCCATTGACATATGGCTTTGAAACTTTGCACACTTGTTCAACATCATGACCCCAATCTGTAAACAGTAGGAGGTAACTCTATCAAGCATTTTGACAGAATTAAGCCCCTTTTTCGACTTAGAATTTACGTTAAAGTTTTTGTAATAGTTCAAATATTTTCAAAGTCCATTGACATATGGCTTTGAAACTTTGCACACTTGTTCACCATCATGACCCCAACCTGTAAACAGGAGGAGGTAACTGTATCAAGCATTTTTTTTACTATCAAGCACTAAGAATAGTCGATCGTTGCTGTCCTACCGACAGCTCTTGTTTAGGAATATTGAAACAAGCATTTATATCCTTAGATTTTTGATATTGGAAATATCAAATGAAGAAAACTCGAAATCGCATTTTAGCGGAAGATAAAACTATTTTATAACATCATAAATGAGCTTAGATATCAATCTATCAAGTTTTAAAAAAAATGTTTTACTGCTATGAGGAACTTCATTATGTGCTTGTTATCATTTAGACTCATGATAATGTATCTAAAATGTATATATGAACCAAATATATATGAGAACCAGAAATAAAAGGTTTTGCTATCTTCTATCGTTTATGTTTTATCTACTCACACTGCCTCCATTAGAAACTAGAGTAATTGAATAAAATTAAGGATGTCATAAATAATTACTTTCTTCTCCTGCATTTCTAGTTCGTTTGGTATGTATTTATGTTGATTGTTTTAATATGAGGAATAAATGACGGTTAAAGCTAGAAATATGAATATCTCAAGATTTTTTAGTTATCAAGCGACTACAATTAGCATTACATTATCATATCAACATACTACTAGAATGCCATTGAAGAAAGAAGTCGTCTATAAAACGCAAGTTGTGAACTGGATGGTTACAATATATCTACAGTAAAAACTCTGAAAAACCGGACCCTGCTTGTTGTGTCTTTTTACATGCGTTAGATCATTATTTTTTTTATATCTTTCGGTTTTCTTTTCTCGGGAAAATGAGAAATTATATATGCAAAAACAAAATATAATTCCATTTTTTTGCGGGGACAAACGACACCAATGTTGTTGAGATCTTAATTCTTAATGACGTTTCAGGGTTCTATATCATCTTGATATATATTTAATCACGGTTTAAATTGCAGTCGTAATTCCAGCTTTATATCAGTGGTTTTGAAGTTCCTTTTGCTTAAAAATTTCAAAGAAAACAACATCATATTAAAAAAGTCAGATCAACGAAAAATCATCTAGCGTGAGTGAAATCTTATGCAAGTAAGTTTTAATTCAAACAGTACTAGTTAAAAAGTAATTGTATCTCTTTTTTCAGATTTAATAATCACAAAGCAGACTAAAAAGAGCTGTTTTATTCTCACAATCAAAATGCATTTACAATGAATAATACATGTATGTCAATAATTGACACGATAATTATCGGACAAAAATAATTTCCTTTTGAGCAATAATAAATAAGTGACAAAAAATGATGACAGGTTTGTTTTTTTTTCAATT